TAGTTAACTATGTATTAATATTCTCTATAATCAAAATGGTAATATAAATTGTCAGAAATGATGCTAAAATTAGCCAATGCTAAAATTTAAAATCCTTATTTAAATATATAATATCTATTAAAATTTATATATACTTTTTTTACTAATAACACTAACTCTAAACTTTAATCTAACTCTAAAAAACTCTAATGAAAAGGCCAAAAATTTTTTAAAATTTCATAATAAAATAGTTAAAATTTCAGTATCATCTGATTTTAGTTTTATCTCTAACATGAATTAATTGCTAATAAACAATATCTTAAAAGGTATAAAGTTTATATAAAATTTGTTACATAGTTTTTTTCAAAACTAAAAATCTTAAAAAAAGTTTAAGTATCTATATTCAAAAATAAAAACTATTTTAGAATTGGCTAAATGATTCTAAATTAAATATTCAAGTTCAATATTTAGTTAATTTTGAACAAGAATTTTATTTTCTATTTATAAAATTTCTTGTTAGTTATGATTTTAAATTAAAGTTTTACAATTTAATACTTTGCTATAATACTTGCTATCTTGTTATCATTTATATTAAATACCAAATTTTGTTTTTAATTTAATATGCAAGCATGAAAAATCTTTATCTATTTTATGGTAGAGAGCTTTTAGAAGCTATAGGAATTATGAATAATTTAAATATTGAATTGTTGATTCAAAGGTTAGAAAAAAGAATATAAAAAGGACTTGAATTATACCAAAAATGGCTTAAATGTTAAATTAATCTTTTTTTTAAGTATGTGTTGACTTGGTGGAAATAATGTCCAACAATTTGCATGTAGCTACTTACATGTTGTATTCAAAAAATCTTGGCCCAAACCTTCTAGTTTAAAAGAACTTTATTATATATAATTTCTTAAAACAGATATTGTATAAAACAAATTTAATAACTTTGGTCTTAAAGATATATTAAGTAAAAAATTATTTTTTCAAGAATTTAACATATTTATTAAAAAACTGAATATGTTTCTTTATTAATATCTACAGCTTTATGATTTTGTAAAAACAAAATATGGTATATTATTGTTTGCTAACAACAAATTAAAAGTCTATTTAATAAGTGAGATTTAAATACTCATCAAAATATAATCATAATACACAACAATCCAGAATGTGTCTTTTAGCAACTAGAATAAAAAAATATCAAATTACTAATAAATAATTAAAAGATATTCAAGCTAAAAATAGAATTGCTTATCAACTAGATTCTATTAAATTAGTTTTCCAATCAGGTAGACAATTAGAGAAAAATACAAATAATCTATTTAAAAAATTATTTATATGCCATTGAAGTTCTTTAGTTTTGTAAAGTAAAAAATTATTAGTTTTTAAGTTATTAATGCTTAATATAGATATAAATATTTATCTTAATATAAATTATATCTACACAGGTTTTGTTGTTTAAATTTCAACAAGGTGCAAGCAGTGTTCTATTAATTGTATATTTTAAATAAAATAATCTATTGATAAATATATTTGGCTTTTTTTATTAACAAAAATTAAGCCAGGTTGTAAGTGAATATAAAATTTCCTTTAACACATAATGCATTACAGTAAGTACAAATATTAAATTCTATTACATATTTACAATAATTTGATAGATTATATTAAATATAAGTACACCTTTTTCAACAGAAATTTGTTCTATACAGATAATGGTTAACCTTCAAGAATATATATTAAATTTTTAATTTTTTATTACATGTAGATCTTGAAATTCTATTGGTCAAATAATTATATATTGTTTGTAACAGTAAAATCCGTACTATTACTATTAATTTTTACTATCATACCTTATATAGGTTTGATTAATTAGTATATTAGCTACCCCAATTACACATGACAGACTTATTGCACAGAATGATAAAAATAATTGGTAAAATTAAAAAGCATTAATAATTCTACTATTTTTTATTAATGTTAATACTAAATGTGTATTAATGATAGGGTGAGTTATCAATTGCTGGATAAATGAAATAATAATTAATCACAATAATTGAGTCAATTATCATGATATTAATAACAATTTATACTGAAAATGGGAATTGAAATGAGAAATTTTTATCAAAAACTGTATATGAAAATAATAGTTGTATATGAATTTTTTTAATATTAACAATGAAGGTAGCAGAGCTAGTTTATCTGATTGAGTTTTAAATAAATTTGTCTGTAATGAAATGTGACTCATACTTCTATTAGAGTTGAAGGCATGGCAAATTCTTTGGGAATGCATCAGGGGTAGAGATTAGGCCCGGATAAGGATTACCCGGATAACCCATATAAGAACTCTTATCCATGTAGAAACTTCGTTAACTGGTTAACCCAGATAAGAAATCAAAATTTAGAAAATAAATAAAACAAACAGGTTTATTAAATTAAAATGCGTTACACAATGTTATTTGAACCAAAGTCAGGTTCATCTGATTCAAATATTTTTAAATCATGAAAATAACTCAATTTATTTGCATTATACTGTTATATTAGCTAGTTCAGACCTTTTAAGCTCATTACTGAGACTTTTTGTGATTGGACCTAAATTAAGAACTCCGTATTACTATTTGATTTTTGGAATTAATAATAAGGATTGCAAAATTTTTTTGATATCTTAACCGGGTTAGCCGGGTTAACCGGGTTATTCAAGTTAACCAGGTTGTTATCCAGTTAAGAATTTGTTATACAGGTCGTTATCTGGAGTAGAAATTTTATATGGGCCTAATCTATACTCAGGGGCATGCCTTTGTAAAGGGCATGCCTCTCTATGCCCCGGGCATGCCCCTCTAGATATAAAAGGGGATCCGATCAACTCACTGACAACTATCAACAAGTTTATTTTACCGATAGTTTATTTCATTGAGCTCATTTTACAGGCAAAGTAATTCTGGCCAATATCATTAGGGTCATAAAAAAAAACTTGTTGGTGAAATGAGCTTCAGTAACTAGACTGTTGGTAAAATAAACTTGTTAGTGAATGATTGTCAATGAGAAATAATACGGATAATAAAAGTATATACAATAATAAGATATTTGTATTCTAATTGGTTAATCGCTGAAATAGCCAATCATACGTTAGCTGTAGATCACATGATAGGAGCATGCCTTTTGGTTAAAGGGCATGCACCTAGGCATGCCCTCCAACCACAGTGCCTCCAACCCTAACTTCTATGTCTCTGATTATCAAGTTATATTATTATCAAAAGCTAGCATTTCCGGCTGTTGAGATTTTGATCTGCACATATCAGAAGCAGCTTGAAATTAAGTCCCACGATAATGCACGCATTTCCAGAGTCCTAATTTCCAGTTTCTAGTTTCTAGTAGCACGACATCACAAAAAATAAAAACAAAAGAAAGGCATAAAATTTATGTACGATCAATAAGAGTTTGTGTTAGACGGAATGTCCGTCCGTTGATTAAAAATTGATGTACGTACATAGTTTCAAAACTCTCCTTTTTTTTTTAAAAAAAAAAAAAAAGAATTGCAAATAATTCTATGTATGAAAAAGTAAATTTACAATTTTTTTTTTGTTTATTTCTTCATTATTTTTGTTACTTTTAAACTGGCAGAAATTTGAAAGTGACATTAACACCTGCACGATAGTAACGATAATAATTTGTTATAATTAGCCGATTATCTAGATAATCGAATTCCATCTAGAAGGTGGAATCGATGAATAATTAGTCGATCAAAAATTTCGAGTATCGAAATAAGCTTGTATATTTAATTCGGTCATCACCGAGCATCGGTCAAAGTTAAAATTTAACCGTATGATAAAACTCTCTAAGTGCAACCTATAAGTGCACACCCTCCCCTCTAAATGTAAACTCAAGTCCCGGCCCAACTATACTGTATACATACCTCTACATATACACCTTTTCTTATTGTTCTCTAAATACACGTTAAAGTCTGGTGCATTCGAATTTTCGATCAAATGATATTCAAAACTCATCCCTATTTCCATTTTTAGCCAAGGGCTTACTCAGTTCATAAAGAATTTGTTTTATGTAATTGCTTTTCTTTTACATCATTTGTAATACAACAGATATATAAATAAATTTGATTTAAATTGTGGGGTTATATTAGTGTAAATTTTTTCAATTACATTTCGACATTTACGCGTGTCATTTTTTAACACTCAAATAATTTAAGTTTCAACATTTAAGGTTAATATTATTAAATTAGCGTAATGATCAGTACTCTGAGTGGGGAAAACAAATACACATTTATAGAACGGCATGAAAAATTGTGATATAGACTTTTTGATTTAATTTAAATAATTTAAAATTCAAATTTTAATATTATTACGAATTTCAAATTTTAGCATTAAAATAATTTAATTTCGAGTTTTTAATTAATTAAATTATTTGAATTTCAAATTTTAATTAATTAATAATTTAAACTTCAAAGTTTTAACGGTTAATATTACTGAATTTACTTTAACTATAGCGTACAAATGATTTTCCGAAGAAATATAGAACATTCTTAAGTAGAATATTCTGTTACAATCAAAACCAAAATTGGTAACATAAATGAGGTCGGACAAGAAATTTAGAGTGTCAACGTCAAATTTTAAGAATAAACTAATCAATTTTTGAATGTACGGACCTATTCAAATATGGTCATAAATTTAATTATGTTAAACGGTTATTTGTTATGCTAAATTATTAAATACTAACGACTAGTTATATGTGCGTAACACAGTTTACATAAATGTTAAATTCCACATGATTTTACAAAGATTTTTTTTCCAGTTCTTTATTCATAGAGATCTTGCGCAGATTGCATCTTGAGTTGTAAAACAATGTAAATTTTTTCCGTGCAAAAACTTAATATCATGTTAAGAAACGTATAGTCTAATGTTTCAACCAATCCGTTTTTTTTCTACAGTATAAAAACGCGATAAATTCCACTCACCGAAAATGATTGTCACTCTTCACACAACTTACATAACTTTTACATATAAACAAGGATGAAATATTTTACATCTGCCATTCTTTTATTGATCACCGCTTCTATTGCGGTGACTGTCGATGCCATCGTAACGGGAACTTACTTTGACCGAATTGTTTTTGTTATATTCGAAAATACTGGTTATAATGCAGCGGCCGCATTACCTTATTTGCAAGATTTAACTACCCGTTCTAATGGTCTTCTCCTTTCCAACTACTTCGCAATCTCACACCCGTCTCAGGTACTGCACGTTTATTATATTCCTTTTAATTTCATTTGTAAAATAACTTTCTTTTTTTTTTTTTTTTTTTTTTTTTTTTTTAGCCAAATTACATTGCCACAATTTATGGTTCAACCGCTGGTATCACGGACGATAACAATCATAATGTTGCAGGAAATAATGTAGTTGACCTTCTTGAAGCCAAAGGTGTTTCTTGGAAAGCTTATATGGAAAATTATCGTATGTATATCATATATACAGTATATATGTACATTTGAATTATATTCATTTCTCCTATTATTTTATAGCTGGCAACTGCTACACTGGAGCTACTGCACCTTCGGGCTCTCACCTTTACGCAAGGAAACATGATCCTTTCATTTCAATGAATGATATAAGGCAAAATTCCGCCCGCTGCGCGAAAATAGTTCCGCTCACCCAACTTGATACTGACATTTCAAACAATGCTTTACCACAATATGTTTATGTTGTACCAAATCAAAACAACGATGGACACGACACTAATGTAACATTTGCGATACAGACTTGGTTTAAAACTTGGCTTGAGCCAAAACTTTCGCAACCTGCTTTTACAACAAATACATTAATCTTTTACACTTGGGATGAAGATGATGGTAGTCAAAACAACCATGTTTTCGCTGGTCTTCTAGGTACTCCCGTTGTACCCCCCTCCAATCATAATGATCCTACCGCTTATAATCATTATTCGTTTTTGAAAACCGTAGAGCAAAATTGGAATACAGGAAATTTGGGTAGGAATGATGTCGGTGCGACTGCGTTTACTCAATACTTACATCATCCTTAAGCAATTTTTACTAGACTAAATGTTGCATCGTGATCTAAACTTATTTAAGATAACCTAAATATAGTAGATCAATGTTTATAATTATCATAAATACGCATATATTTTTATATTATATATTTATATATTACCTTTTAATTACTCAATGATCATAAATGAATGATTCAATATCTTATTATCTATTCAATGTAGAATAGAATATTCATATTATTTAGCATATTTGCAATTTTTGTTATCTGTTAATATTAATTACTGCAAAGTTTAATAAATTAATAAGCACGGTCCCTTCAGTATTATATGAATTATATTTATAAATTTCATGGTCAGTAATGATAAAGTTGTTAAAGTATTTACTATGTTATTTATTTATCTAAATATTAGTAATTAAACTCATCAATTCGTGATTATAATTTGAATCGTATAATTTTTAACTCGCGAGTCAAAATATATCATTTCGGCTGATCTGCATTGTGACTGGGTAAAATCGCCACCCAAAAAAGTTTCGGCCATCACGTGACAAATATATCGAGCACCAAAAAGTCATTTAACTTGAACAGATAAAAAATTTATAGACTAAAAAATAATTACAATAAGCAATAATTTAATCATTTTATTATTTCAAATAAACTCAATAAACGTAACATTTATTACAGTCAGAAAGTATTATTATTACGATTTTTTCTAAGTATTTTGAATATTCCATTGTCTTTAAAATTTATAATCCTCTTCCAATTTATGCAATGGCTCAAAATTTTTATTAGTGTATTATCGATCCATTTGTTACTATTGGTTTAATCATGTTTTCTTCAATAATTTTTTGTTGTGTTCTGTATTCAGAATTATAAAACTTTTGCTCCAATAAATAGTCAGCGTTATAGTCTTCCGGAAGAGCATTCAAAATAGAATCTATAAGATTTTCTTGCGTAATTGCATTTGCTTGATTAGTTTTATAATTTTATTCTATTTCATTTATCATTAGTGGGATTTTGGTTATTTTTAGAATATTCCAACGATCGTTTTACATTTTAAAGAATCGAAGAAAACAAAAACATTTACTAAATCAATTAATACTTTATTAAATATTATTATCATGATCCTAATCATGTTGAATTGACTAGCGTTGGAATCTGGATGTCAATTCGGATATCCAGATAGTCATCCGTGCTCAAATACAGCTATCCGGATAGGACATCCGTATTCATCCGAATATCCGTTGACAATATCCGTGCTTAAAAATGGCCATTCGGATGTCCGTAAATATTACGGATATCCGGATAATAGCCAATTAGAATGCGTTGACCAATAATTTTATTCTTATTACAGTAAATTAAAAAGTCTATATATAACCACCCGGATAGTATCCGGATGACCATCCTTATCCGGATTCACCATCCATGAGCAAAATTTACATCCGAATATCCGTACCATCCACGGATATCCGGATGTTTAACCAAACAGATCCCACATTAGTACTAGAATTGACAATACTCATGATTTTTGAACCTTTTTTGGGTGGTGATTTTACCTCGGTCTCTACATGGTCTAATATAAAAAACCAATGAGTTATAATTCTAGTTAAAGTTGTTAATCATTTGACCAGAACTGAAGTAAAATAATTTAATATTTGACCAAATGATTTGAAAATTTTTAACCGGAATTATAAATCACTGGTTCTTATATTGTCAGATCATGTGGATCATTTGATATATTATACTGCATGTACTGTACAATCGTTACATATGTTAAGAAAATTTGATATCAATATGAAATATATTTTCTTTTATAAATAGTAATTTAAGACGAGCAGAACAACTCAATCAAATGATTTGAATTAATTCATAAATCACGAATTAACATGAGTCTAATGATTTTATTGATAGATTGCCGTTTAAAGATTAAATATAAAATTAATAAATAGTTAAGTAGCGAAGTTTATTAAGTTTTGTAAAGTATTATCCGTTATTGCAAACATATTTACGTATAAATTTATAGTATTTATAAAAAAAAAAAAGCATTGTGTTTTATATTTAACAAATTATTGACTAAGAAACCTATTATATGGTATGAGTTTGTAAAATTGACAATTCAGTTACTAAAACTTTTAATCTTCATCTTCGTTTAGATTTGGCGAGTTAGATGAGTTAGATGAGATAGCAGGATAAGTCTTTACCTAATCCTATGCTACTTGTAACTTTACTATACTCTATAGTATTTGGTATCTTCTTCTAATCACTAAAAAACACTACTGAGTCGGGCTAAACTACCAGTTAGTGCTGTATAACATCTAATTATTGCATATCACAAAACTGTGATTAAGGGTAATTATAATATAGAAAAAGATTAAACTATTTAAAAAGGTAAAAAATGCAAAAAAATAGATATTGTTCTAGAAAGTAAGTGTATATAGTAATTAGGTAAAGAGAGTAGAATAATATAAAGTCTTAAAGCCTACTCTATAGAAGTTTAGTATCAAATCTAAATTAGGCTCAACTTTTAATAGTGATTGAAAATAAATTTTAACTGGGATTTAATTTTTGCTAATACAATATTCTAGGTTTTACCTAAAAACTTTAGAAAAAAATACAATACTATACTCTTAAAATACTGGCATTTAAGATTGGCTGATAACCATTAAAAGTAGATTTGGGATTTTTTAAAAAAACTTTTGATATCATAATATTCTGTATATTTAATTATAGATGAAAAATTAAAAAGGCCTTTTACGTCTGGAGCAGAGGGAAGGCTTACTGTCCAGACTTGTCATGGATGCCTTAATATTAATTTTATCTTAATATTTCGTTCATGCTTAAAGATAGTGTTTATCTTTAACAAATAGTATCACGTCAAACTGAATACTTTAATTATTCTACTAAAGTAAATTACCATATAGAGTTCTGTGAAACTGCCCTTCGCCTTCTAAAGCTTCTTACTGTATATGAATAGCTAATTTTCTAACCTTAATATAAGTTATATATTTTGTAATTTAAATAAAATTATTAATAAGTAATATAGTATAAGTAATTTAAACTTTAAATACAATATATTGTCTGACTTTTAAAAAATTACAATAACTTCATTGTTTTTAATAATAATTTTAATAGATATGCTAAATAGAAAAAACAAATAAGCTTAGCATATTGTGTTTATAAATAAATGCATATTTTTTTAAATCAAAAATTTTATATTGAGGGGTTTCTGAGTTAAAAATAGCTTATTTCAGAAATACACAGGATTATTGAATTCTTATTGTGGTTCAAAATTTTGAAATCGGAAAATGAAATGAATGTGTTTGGAGATCCAAATTTCGAGAAATCGATTAACTTTGACAACAATCATTATTTTAAATTGTTGGAAGATGAAATAATTGATACATTGTTTATTTGAAAAAAAATACGTCATCTATTTCTATCAAATCTGATCCCCACATTTTGATTACGAAACCCCTCATTAAAAAAAGAATTGATATTTCCGTAATATATAATTTTACAATATTTAAATTATGCAACTATGTCCAAACTAATATTGATGTTTTTTGCATTATATGTATGTCAAAAAATGAGTTGCGAAATTACATATCCTCATCTTGCTTTTTAGGAGGAGCCCTCAATTTCATAATTAAAGATATAACAAAGTAAGTAGCAGAAATGAGTGAAAATATAATAGCTGTCAAATGAATTACTATATATTCTTGTTCATATGCAATTCCTATAAAAGTAAATAAAATCACCTAAAAGAAAGAATGTAATCATATTTTTTAGATATATACAGCATATACGAATAGTGTGTATAATTAACAACTGATTTCAAGTCACTCTCATTATAATGAACCCTCGATTTAAGTATAGTGAAGAGCAGTTTCCTTTTACTGATCACTTCACTATAACGAGAATGACTTGAATATAAAAATTTCTTAATATATACAGTACGGTACAACATAAGATGTCTAAGATTTAGAATATTAACCAAATTATTTTAAATTTATATATAAACATTAAATTTATAAAATTAAATAAAAAATTTTCAAAAATTTTCGTAGGCAAAAAAAAAAAAAAAGAATGGAAAAAGAAATTTTGATTTAAAAAAAATGAATATCTTATATTGACCCGTACTATATATATATATACGTTATTATAATAATAGAAACTTACCGAATATCCAGCGAAACCGGCAAAATCATTATTAGCTGAAATATACATAGCCGCCAATAATTCAAAACATATCAAAACAAGTATTACAACAAAAACTTCAATCAAACTTGGAGTTTCATCAATTTTTTCAGGCATAAATATAGTAAAGGTTGTAATAACCAACAACACTGCAGACCATGAGTGATATAAAGAGAATGGCAAATGGATAAATACTACGTCAAGTACAATGTCTATTGGGTCGTCATTAAGCTCATAAGGTAGATACGTAAATTCAAGCTCACGGTAAATATAGGATAATTGGAGGACCATCAAAAAAATTGCAATCAATGATAAAGTAATCAGATCTTCTTCCTATTAATGATAACGATAAATAATCGAAAAAAAAAAGAAAAAAAACCAACAGATTAAATATCATAAAATAGTTACCCAAAAATTAAGCCATAAGCAGTTTAGCGCAACAATACCAACAAAATTCCAATGAATAGTAGTAACATGTTCTTTAGCTTTAGAAAAAAATTGATAAATAACTAGATTCAACACGAATAATAAAGTTATTATATACGTTGTATTAAAAGTTAATATAATGATGGAGTAATTCAATTTCATCCAGGTAATTACCAAAACCTCCTAACAAGAGTTGAATAGGTATCCATATATAGAAGGTAAAAATAGCAGGAGAAACGTATGTAAGATGTGCTTGAAGATAAGGACTGTCCTCCTAAACCAAGGAACAAAAAATGAAATATAAGACTCATAAGAGTATAAAAATTAAGCTTTGCACGTACCCCAGCTTGAATGTATGTATATATATTATCACCTAAAAGAAAAAAATATGCCAAAACATTTGAAACATTGATAAGAAGAAGCGGAGCCATTTTAGTAATGAAATGAAATATTCCGAATCATAAAATCAATAGTGAAAAACGAAATACCCTATATAATAATATTTGGTCATGATTGTTTGCTGTTTCAATTTTAATGGCTTATAAAAGTTAAACAAAAACATTGAACCAAGCATATTGATATATATTGTTTTGAAGTGGCTTATAACGATACGAACATCCATCTACCTTTCTAATTGACCTGCATAATTGTGATTGGCGATGAAAAACAATATACAAAAAATGGTTTATCAATTTTATGTCCTATTTAAATCGCAATTGCATATTACCCTACACAAAATTTTCCACACTTTCAATAATAGGTTGGTATTCCAAAAAAATTTACTGCTACAGAAAAGTAAGTCATTTGAGTGTTCTCTGTAATTTATTATGACATATGAATTACTTTCAATAAAGATGTTTCACTAATTGGATAATCTATCAAGTGTATGCACAATAAAAACAAACATGCTAATGAATCCCTGATTATATAAATATTCTATTAAGAAACTCTTAATGATCTTGATCGATTTTATTATTATCCAGAATTTAAGTACAAAAGTTATGTTCAAAACGAGAATAAAAAATAAATTTAAATGACGATTCTATGATTATAGCCAAGTTACTATAAAATTTTTTTTTTTTGTCTTTACGTATTTCAGACAATTGGTTTAATGCAATATATAATATGATGGTGACTTTTTAACCAGAGAAGGCACGAAGACGACTAATTGGAATCAGAAAGTAAACATTAAAACAAGCAAATGGATTGAAAATTTCTTGATGAAACTTCTTGAAAAAATATATCGATTTCTGCTTTCTGAAGTGTTGTCATATCGATATGAAGTTCTCAAAAAGCGCAATTCTGAAAATGGATTCTATGTGCGAAGCCACAGAGTATTGTAACGCAGATCGACATGTTGCTTCATTACGTAATTGGCGCAAAAAATTTATTAGAGCTGATAGTCAAAAAAGATTCTAAAGCGTTGCTCCAATGTAGGTTCTTCTATGTCGCCTTTTAATAAGCTCATTTTTTAATAAGCTCATTTTCTGGCTTCCTATTTCCTTTTTGGTGATTCTTTACACTTACCTCTTATAGTGCTTCGTCCAATTGAGTCATCCAAGTCTTCAGTGCTAAATATTCTATCTTTTCGTTTCTGTTTTCTTGTTCTACTTGATCTCTTTCACTAATAATGATTTTATATTCCTTTTTAGTTTCCTTATTTCCAAGGCATCTATTTTCTAGCATCTTTCCCTTTTGTTTGATTTCCACTTTGACTTTGTTTTTAAACCCATGATAGGAATTATCTGAGGACGTCGAATGATGACAGTTTATTTCATTTTGACTTTGCTAATTAATTCTTCATTTGTACACTTTTTAGGTTTAATCTTGTTGGCATCAGAAGAACTGTTCAGTATTATTGAAATAATTATCTTTGCAGCTGTCTTTACTTCCCAATATATTTTCTTCACGTTTCACGTTGATTACTAATTCTTCCTTGTCTAGGTATTTCCTAATACGGAATGGCAAAATCTTGTAAGTTAATTCGGCGTCAACTACAGAAGAGAGTAAGATAAAAGGGAGGAAGTATGAACCGTAGAATTGAGTTTGTCCGACCTAACTAACGTGTACTTTAATTCATGATACTGTGTTATAAGTAAACAGTATTCTGTAAAAAAGTGCGAAATTTGGAATGAGATGAGTGAAGTGAGACTGAGAGTTACAGAAAAAACTTTCAATAACCGTACGATATAAATAAAAAATAGAGAATTAGATTTTAAAAAAGCCAAATAAAGCGAGATTGGGAGTCATATAAAAAAATTTGGTAATTATGTTATGTTGCAAAAACTGGGTTTGAAAAGGGTCCAAACAAAGCAAGATCAAGAAGCAAGAAATATACATATAAAACTAATCATCTTTACCTATATACTTATTTATACTTTAAATTTTATGAGTATTAATTTTCTTGATTTTTTTACATCGTTATGAATTAACTAATTTTTATATCATACATTATTTTGCAATTTGATTGGGCTGTAATCATAGAACTGCGTTATTATTATTGAACTGCGCTATTATTATTATTATTATTTATTGAACAGAATTTTAATTATGCATTTTAAGTTATTGTACTATGCTGTAAGTGCAACTAGAAACTAAGGCCACGCAATTGCTAAATATTATTATTAAAACTTAAGGAAACTTAAAATTTTTGAGTGTCACCAAAGATAATTAACAAATTTTCAATAAAATTTGATAACCAATTATACGAATTAAACAGGAAAAAAGCTAGCAGTTGTTAGACGGATTAAAACAAGGATCTAATTGTTATATTTATGAAGTTCATATAAAACTGAATAGCGTGTATAAAGCAAAAAAAAAAGGCCTTTTATTACACCTAAAAAAATCTTGATTGAAGTATTACTGCATATAAATAGTATCTCATTATAATGCTGTAATAATATTTCCTCTAGTTTATTCATTAAAATTTTCAATAAATTTTGATATATAAATTTTATACATCAAAAACAGGACCAACATATTCATCATTTTCAAAGTATTTAGGATTCATAAATGAAACCCATCTATTTTCCTCACTTCTTTTGTAAACAACTTGAAAAACTTCATATTCTATGATAGTAAAAATTTTTGCAAATATAATATCATTGAAACTTGAAGATTTGGATGAACATGATCCATGTGTTTTAAAATTATCTGTCATATATATATCCTCTCTGCCAAAACAGGGACCCAAATTTGGACTATCTCTAATTGCTGGTCTCTTTTTTTTAACAAAACTGAACTTAACATTTTGAGGATTTTTTAAAGTCCCAAATGAAAATATAAAACAATTATCAGTATATAAATAGTTAGAAATAAAATTATCTTGACGCAAATTTCCATTTTGATATCCCCAGCATATAGGATTGTATCCACCAATTATTTCACCGGAAGTTCTAACTTTCATAATTACAATTGTAGCTCCTTTATTGTCACAAAGTTGATGAAATACTTTAGGTGTAAAACCATCACGAGTGCCTCGCAAAAGTAATTTAAGTTCACAATGAATTTTGGCTAATGTTAATCGTTTAATTTTTGGAATTTGGTGAATGATCATAATTGCTTGTAATGGTGTAATGATGTTGGATTCAAAATAATGTAACTTTGGTTGTCTTGGTTCTAAAATTTTATTAAGCCGTAATTTTAAATTATTCTGAAAATTTACTATTTCTTTTCTTAACTTTAAATCGATAATATCTCTAAAAGGCCAAACATATGTATAAAGTTGACTAATAGAAAAATCTGTAAATCTAATTAATGGAATACAATGTTGTAATATGCTTTTTAAATAAATCAATTCATTTTTAGAAAAATTAAAAAATGATTGATTTTTTGTTATTGAAAATTGTCCAATTCCCCATAAAATTAAATTATGCCAAATTTCGAATTCTTCCATTTGAATATTATCTTTATTTAAAAATTTTATCCAAAATTCTTCATCAAATTTTAAAAAATAATTTGAACTAAAGATTAATCTTGGATTTTCACAAATCTTTTCTATGCAATAATTTCGAAGTTTTTCAAATGATTTATATTTGAAGCTAATAAAAGTTATAAAATTCAAATTATATAATATCCATTCATATCTTTGCCCAATGAGATGACTTTGACCTTCATCTAAAATTCTATCAATTAATAGTTCATCGGCTGCCACTAAAAAGTCCAATATATCTTTTTCAGTATGCTTTTGCCAATGTACTTTTCCACTATATATGTAACTAAATTAAATAAAGTCAGTAATTAGTAAATATATTGAATAATTACATTAGTACTGTATATAGTTAAAAGAATTTATTCATACTCTAGCACAACGTGAAACACTTGTGGTGTTATATTAGGTTTTTTAAAGATAATTTCATTGTTCTCAAATATGGCCCAAGATGGTGATAAAGCACATTCAAAATAAGGCGTACTATTAGAGAGAATTTCTGTATGCGCCCTAAACTTTTCACTATTAGGGTTCTCTCCTACTTCAATTATTAGATCTGTGGTTTCGTGTTTAGAAAGATGGTGAAAGTAACTTTCCGAATTGAAGCTATGATATGAATTAACCAATTGAGTTTCTGGAAATTCTGGATATAATTCGTGCCAATAGTAACTATAATTTCTACGTGATATCGCATAAAATTCTGTAGGAGCTATAAAGGAATGATTCTGAATTGAGTAACTCTTATTTGAGTTTTTTCTAAAAACTCTCATGAATCTCAAACCTCTCATAGGATTATAGAAATGTAGATTATATTTTATGGATGTACGGTATTTGTTGAAACTAAACTCCGTTAATAGTACGTACGTACGTACTACGACGTACTTACGTAAAACAGATAATACGTAACTAGAGATGGACATTATGCATGATGCTCAGGGCACAAGGTCTTATTGTAAAATGCCGGAGATTTCCGTTTGCATGTGAAAATTTTTTTCACCTGACGGAATTTTCCGGCTGTGGTTTATAAGCTCGTATCTAAATTCCGATTTAAAAAAAAACTTCGACAAAAAAAGCATATTACACACCCGGAAACTTTGTGCCTTGATTATGCTTAATTGTTACATTATTAATATAATGGAATCATAAACGTTTACATAAGGCATATTATGTGACGACTAAGCATCATGCAGTGATAAGTGCATCTCTACCAGTAACATGAAACTCGAAATTGCTAGGAGGGTGATTCTAAGACACGAAGCCTAACAATTTCCCTAGCGCATCCACAAAAAATTGTTCCATAATTTCAACTAATAAAAAAATTAAATCAATTTCAAGCTCAGAGTAGCATAAAACTCGAATTTACAAAATAGCACGAAATTTTAATTTAATATTCGCGGCTCAATTAAATATTCCTTTTAGAAATTTTTGCTCATAGATGTTAAGTCATTCTAATTATAACACATGAAGCTTTTTAGAAAGACAGGTAAAGTACTACTATCATATTACACTTGATCCTGAATTTTTTGGTAAAAATTACAGGAAGTAATAATTTTTGTTGTGGATGCGATGCCTGAGATGTATAAAATCTTAAGGAGGTCCCCATGACGGAATCTTGGTTGGTTGAGCTGGCATAAAAGCATAAATAAGCACTTGAAAAGTGGAAACTGTTCGGAACCGCTGTGCGTTGGGATAAAGGTCACAAATTACCAACCAACAACTAATGTAATAAAAATACTACTTTAAACCTAATAGTGGAAGGTGTCGATAGATTTGGTTTAATTATAGTTATGTTTATAGCATTAACATTCAATTATTATTAATTCAAAACTTATGGGGAATTATTTAAACTGAGATTCATAATTTGAAATTCACATTTGTTGATTGCCTGATTCTTTTTTATTTAAAGCGAAGAGGTTCTGCTATATATTTATTTATATAATGGCTGATAACAGAAATAATCAAATATCGAATACTGTATAATACAGATATCAGAAAGGCCAAAGATTTCAACTGTTTCTAATATATCTTCTCTTTTTGTTATCAGAGAATTTGATGTACTTACTTTAAAGATATCGAAAATGCTTGGAATTCCAAAGTCTGAGCTGCAGCATATACATGACGTAAAATTCTTCTTCTACAATTTACGTACGTACGACCAAATTCATCATCAGTTGTGCAATTAGATTCAATCAAAAGATCTCTAAGTTCATAAAATACATTAAATGTAGCAGTCGTCGTAATTAATGAACTGGCATTCTGTAAAAAAAATTTCGTAAAGCTGTAAGACCTAATTACGCATCCTAGTTGCTAAAGATAGTAAATAAAAAATTCTAATGTTGTGCTTTTACAATATATCTTCTTGGTTGTTACTTTTGTTTTACACTTTCATCAGTTAATTTTTTTCTTATTCATTAACAGTGACAAAAAATCATACCTTCATAAATTTCTTTTTAATTGTTTGACCTATATATTAAAAACTATTGAGATTATAATGCGATGTAGAGATGGGCAAGATAATAATATAGGTAATAATTACTTATCTTTTTTTTTATCCAGTACTTACTCTTACGTATTATTACAATTATTGTTTACGACGAATTATTTAGTGTTATGAATCGGGCAAAAAATTGTAATCGATTAGTTGTTTGTAAATAATCGATTATACAGTCGACTCTGGATATAACGAACCTTCTTATAACGAGCTCACTTTATAACGAACTTTTTTTTAGCAAATTTATTATAGAGTTCGGTATAAAAACATAGTAAATTCTCTATAAGGAACTTTTTAAAAATTTTT